AAGTTCACCAAAGATCTGCCCAGAGAAAATTTAGTCAAAAGGAGCCACACATCCATGAAAATCAAGCCATAGAGCAAAGATCTTGGTGACTTTATAGGCCCATGCTGATCCACCACCAATATCATTAATCCTGTTCCAACTTAATCACCTATTACTAGATGTTGTGTTCTATCACAAAAGACCTTAGTGATATTATGAGTATAAACTCCCATATATTAATTGTACATTATTTCATTTTATGACTGATGTGAGATCCTATTCTTCAACATGCCCGGGTGGCCCCACACAGGATCGCAAGGGAAACCAATTCCCACATTGAGAACTAGTCAAGTCATCATACTGGAGCTAACGCAACTTTTCGAAAGCCCCGTCATCATTTAAAGACTAGAGCCAACACAACTTTCCAGGGGCCCATTCATTCAATAGCCTTAAGCTGAATCTAGCGCAAGTTTTCGAGAACCCAGCTTAAGAAGGCAAATTCGAGCCCAAGACATGTTGAAAAGAATAGCATGCTCTATTACCATGATAAACTTTATAGGCTCATGCAAGTCCACCACCAATATTGTCCTAACTTAGGACTGGTTTGGTATTGTTGTGCTTTGAAAAAAAACTACTTCTGCTGTGTTGTGTTAATAAGCAGCTGTGAAATAAAGCAATAGAGTGTTTGGTAAACTTTTTTGTAAAAGTGCTTTTGAAAAAAAAAAAACAGTATTATAGTGTTTGGTAAACTTTTACGTAAAATATATGTGAAAAAAAAACCAGGTTTTCATAGCTGGGTTTTGCAGCTTCTTGTTTTTGGCTTTTTTTCACCCAAAACGATGAAAAAATGTTGAAGCTGAATGTTTACCAAACACAATAACAGCTTTCAGCTTTTTTTGATACCAGCTTTTTTCAGAATCACCTCAGTACCAAATCAGGCCTTAATCACCTATTACTAGGTGTTGGGTTTTATCACAAAAGGCCTTAGTGATATTAGGATGGAAACTCCCATAAATTAGTTGTATATTATTTGTCATATGACCTATGTTGAATCCTATTCTCTAACAGATTTGACCCACCAACAACCAATAAACCAACCAAACCCGCTTATCTTGCCCTAAATCAAGGGAATTGGCCCTGAGACAGTAGATCTCAACTTTTAGGGCGAAGGCTGCATCAAAGCCATGAAAATTGATAGTCCACAAAATGGTGAGGGGTGAAGAGGTGTTGCACAACACAAAGACAAGAGAGAAAGGGAAAAGGACACCAGAGAGAAAGGAAACAAGAGAGGAAAGGTTGCAAATGAGTGGTTGGAACAAAAGGAAGGGGATGGGAATGGGTGGAGAGGATAGGGAGATAGAGAGGTTACAAGGAGGGGGAGAGACTGCCATTGCCCCAAAGCTAAAGGAAAGGACCAGCGACTAAGATTTGCAGATCAATTAGAGTTATTGTTTGGAAAGGGAAAGTAAGGAGGCTCGGGAGAGAGCAAAAAGGCCAAAAAGACTTAGCAAAAAGGCCAAAAAGACTTAGGAATATAGGAATTCTTCTTATCTTCTTTGTTTTCTTGAAGTAGACACTTTAAACAAGATATTACTTCGGAAAGAAAAAAAACAACAACAAATTATGTATTTTCTGCTGCCAAAAAAAAAAAAAAACACTTTGTTGATTTGCAAATAACGTATATTTGTCCTAACGAAAGATGCCCATTCAAGACCCAATAAATATATACAAGAGTTCGAATTTCCACGAAGAGACAAGCGTGCGATGATTTTAGCATGAATCAAACATGAATAATAACTATCAATAAGTAATGATAACCCCATTAGGAGAGTTTTTTCAGTGTGTTGAGAACACGGCCCGTACACCAAGTGTAATAATACAATTGGTTGGAATTTTTTTTTTTTTAATTTCCAACTAATTGTATTATTACACTTAATATACCGAACGTGGATTACACTTAATGTACCGAGCCGTATTATTGGCAGATTGAAAAATTTCTTCCCACTAAGCATTTGGCAGTTGACACATGGCAACTTTATCTGAATTCAAGCATAAGTTAAGGATGCATCATTGCATGAGGAGTCCCTTTCTTATCTTATTTTCCTAGTAACTTTGTCCATCATCATAATGTCCATTGATACGATTGATACAATTGGTTGATACACACACACTAACTCTAACCGATGAGCACACACTCTGTGTATGTGAATAATTTCATTTTATTTTTTATTTTTTTTAATTAAGGAAGGTGATTAGTTTTTAAAATTTTAAAAAGAGTATGAAAAAATGTTGGTGAAACAATTTCTCTTAATAAACGCATATTTTATCTTAATATTATGTTTTTTGTCCTCCTTATTTAAATAGTGTGTATCAAAAGTAAGGGTAAAATAAGAAAAATAAGGATATGATTGTCATTTTGTTAAAAGGTACATAATTACTATTTTACCCTCCTCATGTCAATATTGTGTATTCAAAAGTAAGGGTAAAATTGAAAAAATGGGGAAAAAAGCTGACAAGGGCTCTTGTCTTAATAGAATAGACTAGCAGAGAGCATAAACTTTGTATGTGTGAACAATTTCTCTTAATAAGTATATTTTTTTTTAATATTACATAATTACTGTTTTGTCCTCGTTATGTAAATATTATGTATCAAAGTAAGGGTAAAATTGGAAAAATAAATACAAAAAAGAGGGTAAAACTGAAAAAAAATATGATTGTCATTATCTAAAAAAAAGAGGGTAAAATAGAAAAAATAGAGATATGATTGTCATTTTATCAAAAGGTACAAATTACTATTTTTCCCTCATTTTGTCAATAGTGTGTATTAAAAGTGAGGGCAAAATAGAAAAAAAGTTGACAAGGAGGGTTTTCTTAATAATAGTAATAGATAGATAGATATATATATATATATATATATATATATATATTCTTTCTTTCTTTCTTTTTAACAAAGCCATGGAAAACTTTATTGTTTAGACCAATTGGGTGCAGCTACATGTTAGGGTTAGGTTTTTTTTTTGCTCTAACATGTTAGTGATAGTTTGTCGTTCATTAGTATTTCCTTTTCAAAGTTTGATTCGCTATTTCTATGTTGCATTATTACTAATAAAACAATGCTCGACTATTCAAAATTATATAAGAATTCTTCCTCAAAACATTTCGAAGTCAATCTACAGAATTTCGAACTTATGGTAAAAATATTTTATTGTATGTAGAAGCTTCTTATACTATAAAGTGTTTCAATAAAATCATAAAATGCAAGCGCATAATTCAAAAGAGTTGTTATTATTTTATATACAATTTCTTTAAGTGTTATTGGTGCTTAATTCCTAACAATAATAAATTTCCGCAATGAAAATGAGGTGGTGAATTCAAGTTGTCGCTTCACCACAACACTACGGTAGACTTTTGGCGTTTTGATGATGTTTAGTAGGACAACCATCACTTGAAAGTGAGAAGTTTTAGATTCGAAACTCGTGGAAGGCGCATTCGATACCAAATTAGGCTGCCCATAGTGTAAAAATATCGATATACTAATAAATAAATAAAAAAAAAAAAAACAAACAAACCAACTTGTGTTATATAGTCCTATCAGTGAGTGACCATTTGTGATCCCCTTAACGGTTAAACTATAACTTCCGCCGTGCCAGTTTATTCTTCACGAGCTTAACCATAATTCGAGTTGAAAAGTGATGACCCTCGTTCCCATAATTTCCTTACAAATAAGTATGTCAGGGAGATGCATTTTCTGAAGTTCAGTATCATTGAGACATTGAATGAACAAGCCAAACCAATTGACATAAAAAGCCATAATTGTAGCAACAGGGAATAGCCATAATGCCCCCAACTTCTCTTACATGTCAGTAAGTAAAATATGACGGGTGATGCTATCTACACACTAATTTTTGTCATCTGATCCCCTTCAGTTCCAATTTATTTGATTTGACGACCCAAAATTAGAACTTTGGGGAAGATAAAAAGAGGCACGTTGGTATCACCACCCTATATGAAAGATGTTTCGTCAATACAACCCGCCCGGTGCAAACAACCAAAATGTGACGGGGGCAAATCATGAAACGTTATCAACCAGATCATTCAATAGCATACATACCATCACCTTCATGGCTTAATTAAGTGACTAATCCACCTGCTTAGCATTCCACAATTAACTATCCTACGACAAATATGGTCCTCGTTTGGAATAGATTAGTACTAATCTAATTTCTAATGACAATGGTTGCCTTTGTAACCGCGTGAATTGAAAACCTAACACTGCCACTGACAATGTAAGTTGCAACCAAATGGAAGTTGTTCATCCGAAAACTGGGAGAGATTCAAAACCCAGAAAGAAAGACAAACATAAAAACACAGCATAATTAATGATTTACAGTTTAAAGTATTCACTCAAATCTAAGGTTGGTCAGAGTTGGGAGTTAAATTTACTTATGATGATTTCGATATTCAGCCACAAGAAAAAAAATCGAATAACGTAGGAAGCTGCTATCTGCACTTCAAACTAATCCTGCTCTACCTGGTGTAAAAAAATATGAGAGTGCGAATACTAGATGACCATTCCGGTGTGCCAGTAACGATAACTGTAATTCTAACAGGTAAGAAGAAAACACCAATTCTTCCACTTGGCGTTACTTTTTTTTTCCGCAAAAAGAACATTTAAATTTCTCAGAAGAAAACATATATCACGTAGCCAAAAGAGCATTGAAAAAGGAGAGAAGAATAAACACGAGAACTGTTTCTCGGTGTCAACACCTAATGCCCTAGTGACACCTCATCCTTTCTAAGAATGAGAAGGGAGAATGAGTTAAGGAGAGAATGAGTCAAGATATCAGGTACAACCGTGTTCCTGGCCTGTTTCTTTCCCCAACATTCCACCATTTTTCTAAAACCTATGCCCTGTGACTAAGAGCAATTCAAACCATGTTCCTGGAACCTAAACATAGAAATCCTGCATCTATAGTAGCATGACGAAAAAACCACAACAAAGTTATAGCAAGGCAAATGTATGCATACCATAATCATTTTAGATCAAGCAACGCTAATAATAACACTATTGTTTGTTAGAAGCATTCAGTCTTTCATTCTATTTAATAAGTTCATAAACTAGTGCAGCAACATAAACACCTCAAGTGCATGCATAAGTATCTCCCTACATAGAGATAATCCTATTAGACATTCCAAGTTTCCAAGTATGGTAATAAGGATTGATCATGATCCAGACAAAACAGCACAGAACATTTACCACACAAAGACATGACAAAGGTCACATCAAACGAGCATCTGGCACTTGTTACACCAAGCTTCCTCAACTGGCGTCAGACTTCTCCAAAGCTGTAACAAAACGTAGTGTCACTGTGTCAGTACATAAATTTATTGGACACCTTTGTAGTAGATTTTGTGCATGTGCAGAGAGAGAGAGAGGGAGGGAGGGAGATAGAGATAGAGAGGGAGAGAGTGTGCGTGAGAGATTACTATTGTAGTTGAGAAGCTTCTCAATAAGATCAACGTGAGTCATAAGCATACGCCGGCAACAGTAGCGGACCAGACCCAATGCATCAAGTGCATCTCTGTATCCAGAAGATTCAAACCAGTAAGTAAATTTTCTTCCAGGACAAACTGATAGCTTTATTCCTACACTTCAGCCTGGCTGTCTACAACCAGGGAAGAGTACACTTTTAAAATTATTCATAGCTATTTGTCTGCACGTTAAACTCCAATATGTACACATATCTGTATGCACACAGATTCAAAAGAAAAAATATTGGAAACATATTATCATTCAAGAATCTATAAACTACACCCAAATGATTACTCTGTAAAAACTGAAAAATGAGCACTGCCCATCGAGAAACCTCGTACCCATGTCATTTAAAAGCCTATTTTATTATGCATGCAGATGCAACAGTACAAATAACGGAAACAGATTCACCGTTCAAAGATCTATAAATTACACCCAACTGATTACTCTGTAAAACTGAAAAATGAGCACTGCTCCTCATCTAGAAGCCTCTTATCCATGTCATTATAAAGCCTATTTTATTATGCATGCAGATGCAACTGTAAAATTGTTGGAAACAGATATGCACCATTCAAGGATCAATAAACTACACTTAACTGATTAGTCTGTCAAAACTGAAAAATGAGCATGGCCTGTCGAGAAACCTCTTATCCATGTCATTACAAGGCCTATTTTATTACCCACGCCGATGCAACAGTAAAAATATTGGAAACAGTTTACACACTGTTCAAGGATCTATAAACTACACCCAACTGATTAGTCTGTCAAAACTGAAAAATGAGCATTTCCCGTCGAGAAACCTCTTATCCATGTCATAACAAGGCCTACTTTATTATGCACACAGATGCAACAGGAAAAATAATGGGAGCAGATAATGCACCACTCAAGGATCGATAAACTACACCCAACTAATTAGTCTGTCAAAACTGAAAATTGAGCATTGCCCATCGGGAAACCTCTTATCCAATATCCATGTCATTACAAGGCCTATTTTATTATGCACACAGATGAAACAGTAAAAATAAGGGAAACAGCACCGTTCAAGGATCTATGAACTACACGACTGATTACTCAATCAAAACTGAAAAATGAGCATTGCTCGTTGAAAAACCTCTTATCCTTGTCATTATAGGGCCTACTTTATTATGCACGCAGATGCAATAATAAAAATAATGGAAACAGGTAATGCACCATTCAAGGATCTATAAACTACACCCAACTGATTACTAAGAACTGAAAAACTAGCATTGGTCATCGAAAAACCTCGTATCCATGTCATTATTAAGCTTATTTTAGAATGTCTTTTCCGCCAATCGTACAACATACATATCATCATAAGCCCCTCATAATCAACCCAATTAAACCCTAGGTTATGCTTATGCCAGGCATTACAGAACTGGTTTTTGACATTATATTGTGCAATTCACAACATGGAACGACCGTAAACTTTATGCACGTTCTCCACCATTACCACAAACAAAGTAAGAATCTTTGATATTATTGAATTTTAAAAATCGGGGGAAAACACCTGAAAATTGACCAACTCACCCTTCAGTGTAATCGGCCTGCAGCAGGTCGAGATACGTATCCCACTTGTTCCCGATGACCTAAAATTAAACATATAAACCACCAATTATTCAATCATCCCCAAATTCAACCCCATCGAAACGCTGAATGAAATTAGAGGAACAGAAAACCCTAGGCCTAGGATTAGGTTAAGGGCGAGTTGGGGGTACCTTGCCGCAGGTGAAACAGCGCACTGGGATGATCATTTTGATTTACCCTAACTCTGCTTCGCGTGTCCGAATGTTTCTCAGTCTTCGACAACCACGGGGGAAAGAGAGACACAGAGAAGGGAGGGAGAGAGTGCCTGAGTGCGGGTGCGCGAGAGGTTTAGGGTTTTTGGTTGATATAATAGGCTTTTACAGGTGGGCTATTGTTATTAAGTTTCCCTTCTCAAGTTTCAAGTATCAACCCAGAAATTAAAAAGTTGATTTTTTTTTTTTTTTTTTCAAAACAAATTACTTTCATTTTTTTTAACAATATTATCGACACTAAGTGAGAATGAGTGGCTTAGCCTCACAATAGGCTAGTAATAATGTGATTCAATTTCGACTTTGGCTAGAATCGAACTTTAGACCTCTCGCTTATAAGTGAAGATGAATATCACTAGATCGTAATATTAAGTGACAACAAATTACTTCCATTAACTTGTCCAAAAAAACATTACTTTCATTGTAAAAACTAGTACAAGGAAGATAGAGACCAAAAGGCATCTCATAACCTAAATACAAGCACAACAACAGAAAAAAAAAAAAAAAAAAAAAAAAAAAGCCCAAAAGGAGTCAACTAAACAACAACATATAAATTAAAAGACTTAAGCAAAATGATAGCTTCCACCTAAGATACAACGGGAGACCCATACAAACCTAAACCGTAGGCAGCAAAAACAAATAACAAAAAATCCTAATCTCAAGCAGCATAAAGCAACCTACTGCACCGCCACATCCTCGAAGGAAGCCAATGTCACATCCACGCCCTCGCGGTTTTGTTTTTGGGAACTCACACGAGAACTTCCCGATGGGTCACCCATCCTTGGAGTGCTCTCACACGCTACTCGCTTAACTTCGGAGTTCCCATGGAACCCGAAGCAAGTGAGCTCCCAAAAGGTCTCGTGCTAGGTAGAGATGGGAATATACATATAAGGATCACTCCCCTGGGCAATGTGGGATGTCACAATCCACCCCCCTTAGGGGCCAGATATCCTCGTCGGCACACACGCGACCAGGGTTAGGCTCTGATACCAATTGTCACATCCTGACCCGAGAGGGACCACTTCCCGGGCCCGACTCCATCGTAGCACGATATTGTCCGCTTTGGGCCCCGACCACGCCCTCACGGTTTTGTTTTTGGGAACTCACACGAGAACTTCCCGATGGGTCACCCATCCTGGAAGTGCTCTCGCGCGCTACTCGCTTAACTTCGGAGTTCCCATGGAACCCGAAGCCAGTGAGCTTTCAAAAGGCCTCGTGCTAGGTAGAGATGAGAATATACATATAAGGATCACTCCCCTAGGCGATGTGGGATGTCACAGCCAAACTTCGAACAGAAAAAGTAGATAAAAAATATATTCTCCATTCATCTTTTCTTCATGCATATATACATATACAAATGTTGACATATCCCTATCGAAATCAAGGCATGCTGGCCGTCACGTGAGGGTGACATAGCCATGTGCGCAATGCGGAAATGATAGTATTATGTAAATGTGGGCTAACAAAAACCAAACTAGCTAGCTTACACTAGAAAAATATATAAGTGCGAATGAAGGTATTTAAAGTGAAAATACACATATTTAGAGCATAGGTAACCTAAGTGTAGTCCAGCAGGCTAAGTATTAATTATACTTTATGAAATAAAGTTCCTACATTAATTGAAGTCTGTCAGAACAGTCGTAGAATCCTCATAAGCCACCAACACGAACGACTAACTAGAACCTGAAGGGGCACAAAACAGAAAACGTGAGTGGGAAAAAACAAAGCTTTTTAAAACCATTTCTCTTTCCAAAAATAGTAACCCCTCACCGTAAAACCCCTATAATTTCCCAAAAAATAGTAATACATACGTATGTAGAAATCATGCTGAAGAATAGTGGAAACCAAATATATGCCTTGTCAAGTATCTCAGCAATGAAATAAGTAAGCCAAGTGAAATAATTCAATGTAAACTGATGTGTCAGCCGGAGTCAACTAATGTGACCTGTACCGCTGAGCCTATAGCTCATCTACCAATTCCTGTAGACGAGTCGGAACCACCTAATGTGGTATGTACAACAGGCTGGGTGTAAATAGATACGCTCAAGTGCTATGATTACGTGAAGGTTGTGCGAAGTATCGCAAGTCACCTACGAGTCGAAACCACCTAATATGGTCTGTACGACAGGTTGGCACCTGCCTTGGATCTAAGCTGAACGTGTGGTGCGGGAGGTGAACGATCACATGAAGGCTAGGCCTTGGCCTCGGGCAGAGTACTAACACCGGGGTGCAGGATAATGAGCACTAAGGCCTCATTTGGCAGCTCAGACTGTATTGACTATTTCAGTCGGATAGGATATATAGTCATCGGATAGTATAGACTAAATTAGTCGGTCGTTTGGTGAATGTCGGACTAATAACCATATTATTTATACTGTGTTTGATATTTTTTTTTGTGTTTGGTACTTGTTAATAATATTTTTAAATTGATAATTCAAAAAAAAAAAATTACAAATGTGTTTTTAAAAATAAAATTTCACAATCCCAAAAAATAAAAATAAATAAAAATAAATAAAAAAAATAAAAACTATCAATTCTTTCGTCACCATCATCGTCTTCCTTTTCTTTCATCCACCAACCAATCAAATTTGCAGAAGCAAATCTCCAAATTATTGATCGGAGCTTGCTCACCCAGCAAGCAAAAAGTCCATTTCCATACTTTTCAAGGGAGTCACTGCAGACAAAAACGCAGGTGAAATAAAAAAACCCAGTTTTGAGTTTTTAATCCATTGAAACCAAAACTCAGATGAAATCTTTTTCCAGTTTTGAGTTTAATCACCGAACATCATCAAAATCAAATAACAATTAAACGAAAAACTCAAATAATGTCTCTCCACAACGGGAACGGCGTGACTTGGATTCGATGTGCCACCTCTGGTTTTCCGTTCAAAATCTGCCTGATGCTAATCAGAGGTGGGGATGGAGAAAGAGGGAAAGAAGGAATACCTTAGTTGAGAAGGAATTCCTGATGTGTAGAAGTAGATGGCAAGATGATTGGAGCAGTTATTTTTGCTTTAGCATGAAGTTCATGAACCCGACTAAATAATACCAAGGTATTGGACGGGATAAGCAAGCGGGCGTAAGGGGTATAAAAAATGGTGGGGTCGGATTAATAATCCGGTGCTTATTTAGTCCAAAACTCACCAAACACCTGTTTCGTATTATATAGTACAATCCGGTGTCTTATGCGGTGTGCCAAACGAGGCCTAAATGCATCTAAACATAACCATACACACTGCAATTACTATCATCAATATGCACTCACCTGAAGCTTACCTGGGCGTCTGCAGTGTCATGCAATAATATGCATATCTATACTAATGCATATACTAAAATGTAATGCAATTGACATGACATTTAAAAACGTAAATCCATTTAAAACAATTCTTAGGAAAATGGAAAACATATATATACATATATATAGAAAACCAAAAGCCCACTCACTGGTATGTAGCAGGGTCGTAACCCCCGAGTCTTGCTTGGTTACTCTCGTCCTCCAGAAACGTCTCATCTATATGCAAAACAACTAATTTAACGTTAATTTTAAGCATATAACCAAAACCGTGTAATAACTTCTCATATGTTGCTCCATTGGGGTGTTTGAATATACCATCGTGGCCAACCCAACACCAAGAGCATCCCTATATTTTTAGAAAAAATTTCTGGTGTCTCACGAGTTGGCCAAGGCACGGTCACACGCGTAGGCATGTGTCTGGCACGCTGACGGAATCCCTAATCGCGTTAGGGAATATTCCATTAAAATTACCTGACGCCATCAGTATATTCCGTCAAGGTTAACAGAATATTCCCCTTCCTTCTCCAGTGACTCACCGGGAACCGTCGCCAGCTGTCGTCTGCAACACCGGATTTTGGAAAAATTTAAAACTTCATTTTCTCATTCATTTTTCAACCAAATTCCACAAATCTTATATGGACTTGAAGCTCTCAACAAGGAGAACATAACCTTACCTATTTGAAGTCCTAAAACCGACGAAAAGTAGTCGGAAAATCCTTCGAAATTCCGGCAAGGTCTGCAACTTTGCGAACTAGCTTATTCCGATGTCCAAGTCACTTCAAAACTAACCTAGGGTCCCAATATAGTTGGTTAGGACCTTTTTTGGACCTTAAAACCTTGAAAATCTCAACGATCACATCAGAGTAACTTTTACCCCACCGGAGCTAGCGAGTTCTCGGGTTCTCGACGTCATTTCTTTAAACCAATGGTACCACCAGTCTTGTGAAGTCAAAAGATGAGTGATGATGGTCTTAGAAAGGTCGATCTGTGAGGTTTGGAGGGTTTTCTGCACAATTGGTCTATGGTTGAACAAACGAAAGAGAGGGTTCGAGAAAGAAGGAGAAGGGGAAGGGTTTGGCACGTGTGTATGTGTGTGTATGTCATAGGATAGGTCAGAAATAAAAGGGTCTCAAGCCCTAGTTGGGCTACAATGTTTAGGGCTCAAACAATTGAGTCCAACTAAAAAGAAACCAACCCAAATTTCACTTATTCCTTAGTAACATTTTCGTTACGAACCCGATTTGGCCCTAACTCGCGTCAACAGTCTCTTGGCGTCGAGTACAATTTGATCACATTAGCAGGAAAAATAATTTAAAACTATATATGTACATCCATGTCACTAAGCCAACGAGGGCATAATCGTCATTTTCACACATTTGGGGAGAAAATATATATTTATTCGAGACGGGTCGTCACAACCTACCCGTTTTAAGAAAATTTCGTCCCTGAAATTTCTGTACACTAGCATAACGACATATTAATATCCATAAAATAGGCCTGGATATAAATCTCGCATACGATCCTCCGTCTCCCAAGTGGCTTCCTCCATTGAATGGTTCCTCCACAAAACTTTCATCATGCGAACAGTCTTGTTCCTAAAAACCTTATTCTTCCAGTCTAAAATCGTCACTAGCTCCTCGTCGTTTGTCAATTCTGGATTAATTTCTAATGGATGAGGAGGTATCACGTGTGATGGATTAAAGACATAATGATGAAGCATAGAGACATGAAAAACGTCGTGCACTCTTGATAGTTTTGGAGGTAACTCAAG